AGAGAGAGAGAGAGAGAGAGAGAGAGAGAGAGAGAGAGAGAGAGAGAGAGAGAGAGAGAGAGAGAGAGAGAGATTGTTGACCACTACTTTTCTTAGTTGCAGTGGGGTTGCTCATATGTTGTGTGGATGCTGTTAGGTCAGTTAGAACTTTGAAGATCCTTTCAAAAAAAAAAAAGAAGAAGAACAACAAAGTAGAAAAGAAAAAAAAAACGAGAGATAAGAACCGCCATCTTCTAGCTCCCTCTCATCGTCGAGGGCAGAAGTTGTGCCACTTTTTTTTTCCTTCTTTTTTTTTTCCAACAGAGCCCAGTGCTGTTATTTATTGTCACTACCTCCCTCTGTCAGGATTGGGTAATTTTCACGCCCCTGCCTTCCTTGGATGTGGTAGCCATCTGTTTTTGCGTCATGATGACTTTCATAAGTGGTCAAGTACACCTCCTGTCTGGGAAAGTCGTTGTCTGATGGTTGCGTTCTAATCCCTCTAGCCGATGTGTCTTTCATCCCACTCTCTCTTGCTGACTTGTCATTGCAGGTGCCAATGGGAAACTTTGAGCCCGATTGGCTACTGTTTACAGCAGACATGTTTTTTTCGCGCGCTCTCCGGGACAACAAACATGTACGATAGTGCTGTGCTCTGCTAGCCATTCATCCCAATGCGTGCTTGTGCTATGTCTGAAGCCAGAGGTTGGGGTTTGCATAACTACACTCCTGTTCTCCTAAACCTACCTCTTTCTTGGTGTCCCTACTGTTCAACTATTTTGGCTATCACGGCGAAGGCATGTTCAGATGGCTGAGCAAATGCTCAACATAAGTTTAACAAACTCAAACAGAATCAGAAAGACTCAATAGACTCAAAAAACTTGCTTGCACTAGATTGAAATCATAGTAGTGACTACTTTGTTTACTCTTTCTTATTTTGAAAATAAGCTTGTAGTAGACGTTGCACTGATTTTTTTTTTCTAACGGAAAACAAAGTTGCTTGTACTTGGCTGGACGTCTTGGAGGGCTTTCATTCATGCAGATCCTTATTCGATGTCTGTACCTGGATGACCAACCGGATAATGCAGTTGTCAGGGTATGCAATTATAGGAATTTATAGCCGTTTTTTTTTGTTTTTTTTTAAAGGTGATTGCATTGAGATATTATCGTTAAACATGAGACCCGGACACCGGACACCGGACACTTCCGGACTGTCTTCCGGACCAGTGTCTCGACCGGTCCGGACTGTCCGGTGATCTGGACATCACCAGACACCGGACAGTCCGGACCGGTCCCCGGGGTGCAAAAATGTCCGGACCCCCCTGGGGTGGGGGTGAGGTTGGGTGGGGGTGTTGGCAGGCACTTACCTGCTTTGCACTCTGTAGTTCAGGCAGCAGAGCACGTGTCTTGCAGCAAATCAAGTTTAATCAACCAGCACATTTTACTAGCGGACATGCAGAGTTGCAAACAGTACAAAGCAGGTACAAGACTAGAGAAACAGAATTTTTTTTTGAAAAAAGTATGGTTAACTTTGAAGTTTGAAGTTTGAACTTTGGATTTAGTAATTTAAGTTCATAACTTCATATATAACTTAAAAGTTCGAACTTTGCAGTTCAATTCAGAACGTCAGAGTCTTCAGACTGGCAGCACTGTTAGTGCTCTCTCTCTCTCTCTCTCTCTCTCTCTCTCTCTCTCTCTCTCTCTCTCTCTCTCTCTCTCT